AGTACACTTTCAAAATCTGATTTAATATGCTTGTGGTTAAAGCAGCACAGAGCTGCCGGGAGTGGTCTGCCCTGTGATCTATTAACTTTGATAACTTTCATGATCACAGAGTGCACACCTTGCCCTAACCAAATACCTGACAAAATCCAGCCCTGCTGAGCTGGGAAACTTGGCAAGCCAGAGTTTTGGGGGTGGAAAGACAACCTATTACCTCTACTAGAAAAAAAAAATGTCTCAAACCGCTTGGCAGACTGATACCAGCATCACCTTTACATGCCAGAAAAAAATTATTACCCTAGAACGGGCCCTTAGAACACCCAGTTGGAAGTGAACAAATCAGGGAGGAAAACTAATGACTGTATTGCGCATTCCTCCGAGGCAAGGGCCATGTCTGCTCTCTTTTGGGTGGGAGTGCAAGTGGATATGCTGCTGATAAGGCTGTCTCTGGTCAGTTGTAGATACAACTCTGCAACGAAAGCCTGGGGCTACTCTAGGGTGTAAATAAAGTGGGAGGAGAGGTCAGCAGGAGTGGGTGCAAGGACGCCACGGCGCTATTGAAATTCAGTTTCAAGTGGAGAGGCATCTGTGAAGGGAGCGGGCAGGACGGTGTGGGCTGTGTGTGTAATTTGTCTCAGGGAAGCCTCTCCCTTACCCCCAAGGCTCCCCTACCCCGGGAGCCTGGGGTGCCCTAAGCCAGAAAATAAAGGGAAGAAGCACACCTTTCTACCAGGGACCACAGCGGGGGCTGTGGGGCGGGCATGTAAGAAACACTCCCGGGGACAAGTTTCTGAGCAGGAAAGTGGACCGGGAACAGCACATTTCCTGCTTTGCCTGTGCAAACCCCACGCAGAGCCAAGCGGGAACAAGGTTACGGTCGAGGAGTCGCCGGCTGCCAGGGCCGGGTTTGGGGGCTGCCTGGAGGAGTCGGTGGACTGTGGAGGAATGCGGGCGGAGAGAGTGGGAGAGGGTGTGAAAATGGAACGCACGTCTCTCAACCTGTTTCGCAACAAGCGTCCCCAAAGCCCAGCTCCCCGAGACCCTTTTTCAGCCCCGGCGGGAGAAGCAGCAGCTGCCCAGGGGTAGGGTCGAGGCGCTCGGCCCTCGAAGAACGAGGGGCTCGGACTCTGCGTGGCCTTCCCGGTGTGGGGTGCCGGGTGCGGCGCCGCGGGGTCCGCGGAGCGGAAGGTCGATATCTACAGGACCACTCCTTCCTCCCCACCTCTCCCATTCTGCCCTCGACCTTCGACCTCGCAGCTCGGACACTTAGAACAACCAGCGGCTCAGGGACTGGGAGGAGATGAGAAAGTTATCCGGAGACTCCGCGCCGCCGCACAGTCGGCCCGCCGGCGCGCTGTGCGAATTGGCGGTGTCCTGCTGCGCGGCCCTACCTGAGAGGTGCGGAGCCCCACCGTGGTCTGCCGCACACTGCCTCCCGCTTGGCTCCTGGAGGCCGCCCAAGACGCGCGATTTATACGTGCGAAGACCTTATTGTTGTTCTTTGTCCTAAAGACACCATTGTCTATTCTACTGCGGGCCTTCCGGCGTTTCTCCGGAGTTTTCGGCGCGCACTCTCTTCCCCTCCCCCACGGACTTGCTCTCCAGGACCAACCTGCATCTATCTGGGTGCCCTCGGCCTTCCCTATGGACTTGAGTGTCCTTCATCCGGCTCCTGCTTCCTGAGCATCGAAAACACAAACGCCTGCAGGAAATCATCCAGCCTTTGCCTGGTCACTCAGAGGCCTGGGAAAAGCGCCGTTTTGACTTCGGTCTAAACCACAGCTCGTCACGTACCCGGGTAATTTCTGCGCTTGCCGGCCAAAGGTCCTAAGTGGTAACGGGCACAGCTTCTTGAGCGCTAGACGTTTCCTCACCCAGCCTTTCAAGCCTTGGGCCTGGCCTAGCGATCTTGAGTACGATTAGTAGTAGCCCGGAGCCCTGAGATCCTGGACTGTGCCATGCGAATCCGGACGGCTATGCGATGGGGTGTACAAGGCTCTTGTGAAAGTTGCTTGTATCACCCCCTACCTCAACCCCTACCACCCCACCCTCCACCCCCCGTAAATATCTCCTGTTGAGAAAAGCAAGGCTTGCAGGAAGCCACTCCGGATGTTTGCTGCTTTTTGTGTGGCATTTGTGGCTGGCTCTGATAACGTTCCGAGTTCCACTTCCAACACCGTATTTAGTAAAGAGACCGAAATAAAAACAGTCCACACACTGAAACTGGTTTGCGGTGCTGCAGCCCCCAACAGCCTCCCCCATAAATATATGATGAATGAATGATCATTACAAGAAATCAGATCTAGGTAACTATGTAAAATGGACTAGTCTTGGAAAGGTACGATGATTCCTTCCTGGCAACTATAAGTAAATTGCTGTGTTATAACTCCCTGGGAAACTGTTATAAGAAGTAGGGGGAGGGGCTCTAAAACTTGACGCTCCAACTGCATAGATGCAGTGTTCTCACCTGATTTCCCAGGAATCTTACCCAACAAAAATCAGTAGTGAGAACTCAGCAACAAGTGCAAATAATAATGGGAAGCCCAGGTTTTCTTCCTCATCAGTTTCTCAACTCTCTTGGTGTCTCTCTGTGCAACCGGGCGAAGGAGACAGAAGCCAGGATGAAGAAAGTGTACAAGGGCAAATAGGTGTATATACACTTTCTTTGATTCACACCTAGATTGTTTTCTATTTTATTTTTTACAGAATTAGATAAGACAGATAAAAAGGATTCTGGAATTGGCATTGTTTTTGTTTAGTGTTCGATCTTTATTCTAAGAAAATACCTATTACTTCATAGAAATGTTTGCGCTAATAGAAAATTCTACATTAAGATATTTAAAAAGGCATTTATTACTATCCAGAAAAGTCAGAGAAGATCGCCAAGAATACATCAATGATGGAGGCACTAGGGCATTAATTTGTTCTCTCTACTCCTATAGTTTCCTTATTATATAACCATTTGCAGTGCAATTATGCTTAATTTTCAAGCCCCTTTTTCAGAAAAAAAGCTTTAAAGGAAAATTAGATGATCAAGTTAAATTTGTTTAAGATCAACTGATCCAAAGCCACCATCGCTTCTCTAAGATTTCCTTAAGCAGATTAAAGGTTTTTTTCTTGTCTGAACAGGAGAGATTCAGAAACTGCAACCACTTTCTCAATTTTTCCCCTGAATGAAGACTGGCAACTACTTCACAGATCCTCACACAGTTAAAGCCAGTTGTTTTGTTTGTTTGTTTGTTTTAAACAAGTGTGTAGTTCTTTGGAGGAATGGCAATATCAGAGAAACTGAAGGCCAGCCATTTCCAAAGCTCCTTTTCTTTATTTTTATGGATGCCACGAATAAGCAGGACTGACAGATTACTTTGTCATTGTAATATCACCAAAAAGCTGCAGCATTTACCTCCCGGATCCCTGATATAAGCCTTAGTTTTTCATCACCCCTGCACAATAAACAAAGAAAATCTGTTCTGGAGATATGATGCATTGATTTCTTTGTAACACTATCTAATTATGCAAAAATGACTGCTTTCATTGCCTTAGAAAACAACACAAATAAACACAACTTAATGATTAAGAGCTCCAAGTCTGAAGGCACACTACCAGAGAGGAGCTCCATTCCTTACTGCTGTGATCTCTGGCAAGTTCCTCAACCTCTCTGTACCTGTTTTCTCTCTTGTAAAATATCAAGTATTTACCTCAGGGGGTTATAAGGATAATTTGCTGTTGGGATGGCTCTGCGAACAATGTGTGACATGCTGTGCCACATATGAAAAATTTTCTCAGATTTAAGCACAAATTTAAATTTAGATTGTTTTCTATTTTATTTTTTACAGAATTAGTCAGATAAGACAGATAAAAAGGGTTTTATCTCCTTTGAAGAAGCATATATGAAGAAGCATATAGGAATCCCTAAATTTGTCAGGATAACCACCTTAAACTGTGCTTAAAAGTTATAGTTGTTTTGCTGCTCAAAAGGATTGCTGTTTTTTCTAATAGATGGGTATTTAGATAAATATTGCTGTTTGTCAAACAAGCAAAATATAATCAAAGACACTGAAACTGAGAACAGGCTGGCAGTGACCAGAGGGGAGAGGGGAGGAAATTTCAGGGGAAAAGGGTGAACGGTTTGCAGGAACAAGTATAAAGGACACATGGACAATAACAAGGGGAGGGGGCAGGTGGAAACAGGAGGGAGGTGGGAGGGCGAGGGGAGTGGGATGGGATAGGGTAAAAGGCAGAAAACTGTACTCAAACAACAATTAAAATAAAAAAGATTGCTGTTTGTAGTAACATTTTAGAATTCAGAACTAAGTCTTGCTTATTTTGCTGAACACATACAAGAAAACTTTGTTTGCTATACATTCATGTACAAATTTTCAGTGGTTAGTTCTTGTTCTTGCACAAAGGCTTTAAATTCTTCAGGATGACAGGATATTGGCTACAGAACGTCATTCCATATTTAACCTTGTTTTAGAAGTTATAATTTACCTAGGACACAGCATTTTGAATATGATACAACAAGCAAGTTGAGTCTTTAGGGGAGAGAATTTTTTATTTATTATCAAGTGTCTATTGCACTCGATAAAATACGTTTGAAGAACACACCCGTGGCGTTCCTTGATCTAAACTAGGTCACCCACCACTAAAACACCTTTAGCTCCCCTAATCGGATGGACGCTTAGTGTGTTGATACGAACTACCGTACCCAATTACTTCTATCCAACACCCCAGAAGGTTTCTCAGGAGTCCTTCTCGATACCAGAGGACGTGGAGCCGGTGTTCTGCTCCAGCCAAGTTTTTGCTCCGGCAGGTGTAGCTTTTGGTGTGGGGACAGAGAAGGGGAAACGGGAGGGCGTGGGATAAAGCTTGGACAGAGGACTCCGGTGGCGGGCTGGGCGTTGGCCTAAAGACTCTGGCCTGGCCCGCCCCCGCTGCTCTATTGGTCACAGTGGAGCAGAAAAGGCCCCGCGGCCCAGAGGTGTCCGCAGTGTCACTGGGCCGGCGGGGGCGCTGGCTACGTGGTGGGCTGGGCCTGGTCTGGAACGCCGGTGGCAGGTTAGCCTCCGAGACACTGGAGCGACCCGTTTGGCATCTCCCTGCCTCCCTCGCTCCTCACCCCCTCCCCCCAGGTCGGGGGAGGCGGCGAGTCCGGCTGAGGGTTGTGGGGCGCGGGGCAGGTCTGGAGAGCCATGAGCAGCCCGGATGCGGGGTACGCCAGTGACGACCAGAGCCAGACCCGGAGCGCGCTGCCCGCGGTGATGGCCGGGCTGGGCCCCTGCCCCTGGGCCGAGTCTCTGAGTCCCCTCGGGGACGTAAAGGTGAAGGGCGAGGCGGCGGCGAGCAGCGGGGCGCCGGCCGGGGCCACCGGCCGGGGCAAGGGCGAGTCTCGCATTCGGAGGCCGATGAACGCCTTCATGGTGTGGGCCAAGGACGAGCGCAAACGCCTCGCGCAGCAGAACCCGGACCTGCACAACGCCGAGTTGAGCAAGATGCTGGGTGAGTCCGAGTTCGGAATGCAGAGTAGTAGGAATCGCGGAGCAGCCATCCTGAACCTAAAAGGGTGCGGGTACTGCGCCCAAGGCCAGGGGCATGCTGCCTCCACGTCCTTCCTTGGGGCCCTCCGTTACCCTTCTGCTCCCGCAACCCCGACTCTCCCTACAAGCTTTTTAGCTTCTGTCATCGGTGCCCGAATTATTTGGGTGACCGGGACACGGGTACAAGGGCACCGGTACAAGGGCCCTGGGGAGGCGGTTTCCCGGTCGTCTCAGTGGTGGTGAATACACTGCAGGAGCGGAGCTGGGCTGGTCGTGGCTGTTCCCCGACTCCTTTCCAGGGTAGGGGACTTTTTTTTTTTTTTAGTTCTTAGAATGACCGGGAGTGTGAGCGGGGAAGCCTCTTTTAGGAGGCTAAAAGCAGGGGTGATGCCCTCAAAAAACCCTAGATCTCTTGTGTTTCCCAAGTACTGGGACTCCACTCTGCCTCCAGAATTCCACACTTTACTTTTTTAACTTGATTCCCTTACCCCTTCTAGTTGCACAGTTGTAGGTCGGAGGGGAGAGGTGGGGCCTGGGAGCGGAAGCTCCGATAGTAAGTCCCGCGACCCTCTCCATCTTCCCGGGGCAATGCAGGCAAGTCGTGGAAAGCGCTGACTCTGGCGGAGAAGCGGCCCTTCGTGGAGGAAGCCGAGCGGCTGCGCGTGCAGCACATGCAGGACCACCCCAATTACAAGTACCGGCCGCGGCGGCGAAAGCAGGTGAAGAGGCTGAAGCGGGTGGAGGGCGGCTTCCTGCACAGCCTCGCGGAGCCGCAGGCCGCGGCGCTGGGCCCCGAGGGCAGCCGCGTGGCCATGGACGGCCTGGGCTTGCCTTTCCCCGACCAGGGCTTCCCGGCGGGCCCGCCGCTGCTGCCCCCGCACATGGGTGGCCACTACCGCGACTGCCAGGGCCTGGGCGCGCCCCCACTCGACGGCTACCCGCTACCCACGCCCGACACGTCACCCCTGGACAGTGTGGATCCGGATCCGGCCTTCTTCGCCGCGCCGCTGCCCGGGGACTGTCAGGCTGCCGGGCCCTACAGCTACGCACAGGCCTCTGACTACCCTGGGCCCCCGGAGCCGCCCGTCGTCCCGGGGCACCCCAGGCTCGGTCCCCAGCCCGCAGGCCCCGCAATGCCCGGCCTCCTGGCGCCCCCCAGCGCCCTGCACGTGTACTACGGCGCGATGGGCTCGCCCGCGCCCAGTAGCGGGCGCGGCTTCCAGATGCAGCCGCAGCAGCACCCGCCGGGTCCCGGGCAGCCGTCACCTCCTCCCGAGGCTTTGTCCTGCCGTGACGGCGCGGACGCCAGCCAGCCTGCTGAGCTCCTCGGGGAGGTGGACCGCACAGAATTCGAACAGTATCTGCACTATGTGTGCAAGCCCGAGATGAGCCTCCCTTACCAGGGACATGACTCAAGTGTGAATCTCCCTGACAGCCACGGGGCCATTTCTTCCGTGGTGTCCGATGCCAGCTCTGCGGTGTATTACTGCAACTATCCTGATGTTTGACAGGTTCCCAGTTCAGCCCAGCCTGCAGGCCAGAAGCACAGTGTTACACACTTCCCGGAGAAGCTAAGGTTATCCTTAGCTTCATATTGTTTTGTTTTGTTTTGAAGTTGTCTTGGCATATAATTTATGGTAATTTATTTTGTCTGCCACTTGAACAGTTGGGAGGAGAAAAATGTGAGGTTTTGTTTTAAGATTTCTTTAGATAATTGTTTCCCACAGTGTCATTGTCAAAAGCCCGTTTCCAAGTTCCAAGTTTACCAGTTTTGAGTGTCCCAGAAAAACTTGCTCCATTTTCTAAAAATTTATTGATCAAAGAAATTTTCTCTTCGGGTGTGATTTTTCAATCTTAAAAAAATAAAATCTGGAATCCTACTTTTTCGCATGTTAGTGCCTCTGTCAGAAACGCCATTTTTTTTTTGAGACAGATGTTAAGTGTTAATAGGATTAGACATTTTAACGGTGACATGTAGCACATAGATCCTGTAAATTTCTCATTTTCTCAAAGTAGTAGACCTAAGTGACTTCAATGAACATTAGGATATCCAAGTCTGATGTAATAGTTTTTGCTAGGAAAAAATCCTCATGAATGAGCCTGTTACAAAGGATCATAGTTTGTAAAAAGTTATGGTCAATCTTAACACTTTAAATATATTCAATTTTACTACATCACTCACTTCTATCAGAAGAGAACAGTCAAGTAATTTTGGTTTTCTAGTTGTTTGTTGAATCTTGAGACCTGCTTAAAGAGGCTTTTGGTTTTTCTTTATCTTGTCATCTGTATTTCACTAATAGTGTTTATATTCCCTCTCAACAATGAACTTGTCTTTGAAATCCTCACATGTCTACACCTTAGGAAGTAGTGTTACTGGGCTGAAAATAATTTCAAGGATTCACAGGAATAAAATGTGCATTTAGCCTTGACTTTCAATGAACCTTAGCATCTATAATTTCATTAGGATATTTTGGTATTACAGGCTAACTGCATATGTAGCTGATTGCATTTCTTGACTTGTATGTAGTGTGCTTTACAGATTCAACTAAAGCTACAGCCCTAAAACATCACTGTCCTGCCATTCTAGGGAAGAAACTGAGTCACAGGGTTGTGAAGTAGGGGGTCAGCCCTGCTACGTGCTGCAGCACAAATTACAGTGTCCCTTTCCATCACATTGTGCAAATTGAGACATAAATGGAAACAGATGGCCTGTAATGGGCACTTCTTGTGCCAAGTGATTTGTCAATGCCATTTTGTACTGAGTTAAACTTGATCAATCCCATGAGCCTAGGTGCTATTCTCCCCACTATGCAAGTGAGGAAAGATGACAATGAGCCCTCACCTGTCACATATGGTGAAAACTTGGTGCTATAAGTTTTAACAACATTTGTTCACTGTTTTCCTTTGTGCCAGGGTGAATCCATAGGCACTGGGAGAAGTTCTATCCTGCTGGTGAGAAACTATATAATTTTCTATACTGATACATTTCTGTAGATAAAAGGAAGGAGTAAGAGGATAGCTTAAAGCATTTGTGTTAAAGAGGGATACTCAGCTGAAATGGTTGGCTAGATTCTCTTGAGAAATTGTATGTTTTGTAGAAAATGTTCTTGGATATTTGGAATCTTCAGGACAAAGTTTCAGGAAGGAAAGGCAAGTGTATTTTGGTGGGGGTGGGGGCTCTAGTGCTCTACTTTTTTCCACATTTTTTTTCTCTGACCCCAGACAGGTTCTCTTTCCAGCCCTAGTTCCTACCTCAGGATGTCCCAAGAGGCCTCACTTGCTCAGGTTCAAGGCCGAGTTGCCAGTTCAGATCACACTGAGCATTTTAGTGCATACTTGGTAGGCCCAAGGAGATTCATTTGTACCCTTGGCTGCTACCTCTAAACAAAATAAATAGGGGAAGGAGAATAAAGAATGCTTAAGAGGAAGAATAAAAAAATCCTGTTCACATTACATTCTTAAGTACTTATTAGGTCAAAGTGGGAAAATAAGAGTCAAAACTTTAGGCATTCCCAATGCCTTTCACCCCAGTAGAGGACAAATTAGTCTTCCCAATAATTTGGGGGGGGGGGAATCAGAAGCATTCAGCTCATTTCTTCTCTTCTGACTCAGAAGAAGCGATCTCAACAATTAAAAATGAAAAAAAAGAAGTGATCTCAAATTACAGCTAACGTGATTACGTTTGTTCTGCTTTGGGAACAAACACATAAAAGACAACACTGCTTTCCTCCCTATTTCTGCTTCTGAAATACTTTAGAAGTATGTCGGGGGGGGTAAAAATTTGGGCAGCTCTCACTGAGTTCTGAGCACTCCTAGATGTCTTGCTTATTTGAATTCACCTTATATGATAGTCTGAGGGAAGCTAGGAGTCCCTTCCCCAAAAGCATGCATATGTACATATACAACATTTCATTAATTTTAAGCAATTCATGACCCCTTTTAGCTCATCCAAGGGTTACAGGAATCTGAAGCCCTCAGATTCAGAAACCCTAATGATGAATGTTTGTTGGGAAGCATGGCACCCAAATATGAAAACAAAAAGCCATTTTCCCTATATTTAAAAACAAGGATATCTCAAGAACTCTTTCATAATATTCAGTTCTCCCTTTTTGAGACATGGGAATTAACACACATGGGGAGTTGTATGACCCTCTCTTCAAGTCTAAAGGAAACCCATGATGCCCTGCCAAGATGAATGTGTGGTCTTTTCTGTTGTGCATTTGTGGTGGTAGTGGTAGGCAGTCTCCAAGGTTGGCCCCATGAACCATACCTTGGGTATTTACATCCTTGAATAAACTCCTGCCACACTGAATCTGGATTGGACTTGGTACTCTAACCCAACAGAATGCAGTATAAGTGGTGCTGTGCCAGCTCCAGGCCCAACCCTTAGGAAGGCTGGGCAGATTGCATTGCTTGTACTTTTGAGAGCCCTGAGCTACTGTGTAAAAGGTCCAGTTACCAAGGTGGGGAGACCATGTGGAAAGCAGAAGAGAGGCCTTGTGGCTCCCTGAAAGGAGAGAGGGCTTGGTCTTCCTGACAGCTGACTCCCACCTGTTGTGTGTCTACTTGTAACCATCTGATTGGAACTGAAGAGAGGCCAGAAGATTAAATGCTCAGATTAGCTCAGGCAATTCACAGTGGGGAGAGATTAAAAGGGGGAAAAAAGACGGTCGTTTTAACCTTAAATTTTGGGATGTTTTGTTATATAACAACAGTTTACGAAACAATTGTTCTTACATGGCCCTCTTTAATTTATTTATTTTTAGAGAGGGAAAGGGAGGGAGAAAGTGAGGGAAAGAAACATCAACATGTGGTTGCCTTTCACTGGCCCCATACTGGGGACCTGGCCCACAACCCAGGCATGTGTCCTGGCTGGGAATCGAACTGGCAACCCTTTGGTTCTCAGGCTGGTGCTCAATCCACTGAGCCACACCAGCCAGTGTTCCCTCTTTTATTTTTAAGTATAAGAAGGTGGGCACCAATGGAAAAGGGCTTTGAGAGCCTGTCAGAGACACCAACATAGCTTTAAAGTGAAGGATAGAATGTAAAACTTGGACTCAGGTTAGCTGACTCTGTGATATCACTAAATGCACAGACTTCTCAAGCAGACTCAAATGAAGTGACCACAGATACCAGCTAGCAATTTTTTAAATATTAAACTTGTCTCATTTTTAAATAGTTTTATTTAGGAACCAAACACATAAAGGATTGTTCCTCTCACCATCTTTCCATCTCAGATATACTTTAGTAATGTGGCAGGGGGTAGGAATCCAGCCCTTTCAAGAGCTGAGATGTCCTTACTCCATGTCAGCATAAAGTCTACACACCTAGAGGGTCCCAGAACAGTAAGTAAGAGGGTGTTTTCCTTCCCACTGAGACACTGACTACTTCTCTGTTAAAGCTACCAGGTTGTGTCTGATACATTACAAATAAACTTGTAAATTACTCATACAATCTACTAAGAGATATCACAATGAAACTGTATCTTTGATTTATTATTTTTACCTCTGAATATTACTGTACCTTTAATTTGAATCACATTACAAAACACGTCAACTTTCTCTTTAAATTTGTGCGGATATCAGGAAAAGCGCATATAAGCCAAAAAGAATTCAGAGAAATGGATTGGGATACGATGAACCACTTTCGATCATCTCCATCTAACCTTTTTAAATGTCCATTTCATTTTGAATATTCATAACTATTATAGATGTTCAACATTCCTTTCCACCACCCTTTCTTCTTTGATTTGTTTTGACAGTTCTGGACAGGGATAGAGATTTTTATACCCTTTATTTCAGCATAGATTTAGTCTTCCAGCTTATATGGTGTGTTTTTTTGACAGAATATTCACCTGGTAGTTATGTCCCTACCCATCCGCATCTGTAATAGGACAAGGAAAGTTAGGCTCTGGTTCCTCCACATGATAAGCTTGGGGGCAGATTGAGCTTTCTTCAGGTAGCACTTATTCCTATCCCTACCTTCCTTCTAGTGAGAAAATTGCTGTTTGTTTTTTTCTGAATTATTAGACAACTTTGTGTGACTCAGCAATTCAATCTGCACCATTGTGCTCACACACAATGTAGAACCCTTACCACTGGCAATTCTCATAGTTTTATTCAAAATACTGGATGTTAAAAATTCTTAACATGGTATAAAACAATATTTAAATGGTAAAACAATATTCCTTAGTGCACTATAAAATTTCTTAGCACTAGTGTACAGCAGGTGTTAAATAGTTGTTGCTGTGAAAATGATAATGTTCCTGAGTGTCAACTTTGTCAGTAGCTCAGGTCCAAACAACAACTTGGCTGAATTAAAAAAAAAACTTTAATCTTATTCTTACTGAAGACATTTTAGCTTTGAGGATTTTGTTTCCACTGTAGCCAAAGTTTTAAACACTTTAACAAATTCATAACAAATATTCCCAATACTACTGTTGCTCAGAAAGATGATTTGTGAAGTCATATTCTATGCAGAGACTCTGATAAACATAAATAAATGGCAGTGGATGTGTTGTTGACCTAGTCCTCCCTACATGCCCCCCTCCCATATCATGGCCATTTCCCCCTCTGCTGGGAATCTGGGCCCTCCCATACACCTGATGTGCTGTTGGGCAGGGAAAAGAATCCTGGCAAGCTTGCAGTAAACTGAACAGTTTTCTAGTCTGCCTGATTCCTCTCTTGACAGAAAAGCGATCCGAGGAGGGTCTGTTTTCATTTTGTATCACTTGACCAGAAACCTAGTGAAAGTACTCAGAAAATTTGAGTAAGTTGTTTGGTTGTTGGTACCTCACTTTCCTAACTGATTCCTAAAGGAATAGAAGGAATTCCTGCTTTGTCTTTCTTCTATTTGAGACAGTTGCCAGTGACTATTACTT